AACCACGTTAGCGGCCGCCATCGCCGGGCTGAGAGCCCTTAGCGAGGCGGCGTTGTAGCCGGGAGTGAAGGACGTCCCTCAAGTTGTCAAAACTGGACCCACCTGGACGAAGGTGTTGTCTAGGCGAAGCGGAGAACTTGGCGGTGACGATAAATCCAAGTTTCAGGGGTACCAAGGTGGATGTCCGCAGAAATAGCAGAAAATCTACGGAGGCGATGTGGAGTGCGTCCGTCACCATCGAGCGCTCGCAGCGCCCCCCTCTGGGTCGACGACGACGCAGGGCCGGTCTTTCACGGAGAGTAGGCCAGCGTCCAGAACTATCTTCTTGGCTTCATCTGTCTTCATGTTAAGAAGCCAGACGTGCGACATCTGATACGCTTCTATGCCGCTTACCTCTTGAATGATGCCTAGTTCCTTGAGCGGCTTTCGGAAGTCGTTAATCCCGTACGGACGCGCTGCGATGTCGCAGTGCAGAACCAACGTGCGTCTGAGTCCTTCTCCTGTGGGCAGTGGTGGCAGAATTAAACGGTAGTCCTTGGGAAGCGATGTGCACGAGAAACCGCGGCAAGCGTCGGCCGCTGTAACAGCTCTTGAGGAGCCTGCCATCCTGCGTCCGCACGCGTCGGTGACCAGAAGCAGAATGACCGCTGCGCCACACTAACATGACATTGACTGCGTGTTAAATACTTAGTTGCCATACAAACTTAAGGTTCAACTTGGTTATGTTTGTCGTGTACACAACATAGACAAGATCTACACCTGCTACTAAATATTGCACATTTATTAAACACAAGCAGCTGCGGCCTGTAACGATTGCCACTATGTTAATGACACTAGTGCTATTTTTTGCAATTCACAACTTCAAGAAAAAAAAAACCAAGTGGACTGGGGAGCAGCGACAGTTTACCGGCGGGGTCTCCCCAGTTTGATAGCCATTTCGCGCTCGTTCTAAAGGGTGACATCTGTTCACGCTTTATGACGCTTCTAGGCTCATTCCATAGATACGCCCGCCTAATTTATTTGATTGAGTATTGGGATGCTTTTCGCGCAATGTAGAGGGCGGTCGCGCCAGCGCATTGCTGTAGCACTTTCGCTAAAGCAACAACTACATAAGGGCTTGGCCAAAACGAATGCAGTGTTCCGGAAACATTACGCTATCATATTGGTTCACCAAGCACACGAATTGCCACGTCTGAGTTCTGGTACAAAAGCTAGAGAAGTGCCGGCGAGTGTGACCGGCGGCTGTCGGTGAGAATTCACTTAATTACTAAGAGAACTTGTTGTTGGGCTAATTGGTAGATCATTTCGAAAAGTTAATTAGAGCGCGAAAACTTGACACGATCACTCACACACGCACACACCCATGAGCGCTGTGTGTTTGATGCATGGGTGTGTGCGTGTGTGAGTGATCGTGTCAAGTTTTCGCGCTCTAATTAACTTTTCGAAACACTTAATTACGTTCTCTGGGAGTGCTTTAATCGCGTCGCATCGATGTTTGTTGCTTCTTGAGCGGACACCATACACAATGAAAAATGTTTCATTTAGGTTAATTGATGCCATATGGCTGCGCTGTATTGTCATACTTAATCGTCGTAATCATGTATTCTGAAACCCGGAAGCACGGATAACACAATTGTACGGGCTCGGTCAGTAGGCCTAACCCTTGGTGGAAATCATGGTGGTAGAACATGTAGTGTACAGATCCCAGCTTTGTACACTATATAAATTGCACGCCATTATAAGCCCACCCATCATCTGCTTACTGCTTCCCAGCATTATCGCGATGGTGGGCAGAGCTTCTCAGCTTGGTACACCATGTGGCCCACCATAACAAGCAGCACCCATCATCTGCTTAGTGCTTCCCAGCATTATCGCAATGGTGGGAAGAGTTTCTCAACTTGGTTCACCATGTAGCCCACCATAATAAGCACCACCCACCATATGCTTAGGGCTTCCCAGCATTATCGCAATGGTGGGCAGAGTGTCCCATTATTGCCCACTATCTAGCCTCTGCTTTCCACCATCATTTCCACTTTACCCATCATCTGTATACCATACCACCCAGTATGTCCCAGCATAACCACCATATTTTCCACTACGTCCCACCATAGCCATCATAATTTCCACCATGCCCACTATTATTTCCACCATGCCCACTATTATTTCCACTACTCCCACCATGTTTTCCAGTATCCACCATGGCGATTTTTCCGATAGGGTTGTGATGTTGGAATTTACTAATACGCGTGAAATCGTCTTTATCTTTGACGACCCTTTGAAAAAGTACATCTTTTAGCACTAAACATGAGCGACTTATATCCTTAGGAAACTACACATTTCCTGTGGGGGCAAAGTAACATGATTGCACGCACAACAGCGCGGTTCACAGGCTGCTCTTGGTGCTACAGTATTACTTTGCCTCTCTTTGCTTCTCTCCTTCTCTATTCTTTTTCTCCCTTTTCCCCCGTATAGGGTAGCCGACAGGATGCAACCTGGTTAACCTCCGTGCCTTTCCTTTCCATTTCTATCTCTCTCTCTCCCTGAGAGTGACCTCTGCGCGCCTGGCCTTTATCAAAGTAGATACGATATAGAGCACTACGTGTTAAGCTAGTGGCGAGTGGGAAGCTAACTTTACTCACAGTCTGTTATTCATTCACCTAGGACGACTAGTAGATAAAAGTAACTCTCTTTTAGTGGTGGACGCAACACCACAGGGCTTGACGATCCACGGTGTCTGTTAAGCTATATTTACACGACGGACCAAATCGTGATTCGAGTTTGCAGATTGCGTTCTAGGTCACCATTTAGGTCATTTGTTCCACGTTCCCGCTTCGGCCCACGTTCACCGGTCGGCCAAACGACGGAAGCCCAAATCACAGTTGATGTCTTCGGGGAGCAATGCCGGAATCCTCGCTTGTAGCGTGAATGCTCCCCCGCGGTGCGAATGCTGGCTGCATAGGGATTCGTATTACGTCATATGTCACGTGACTGATTCGTCTGCGAGTGCGTCCGTCGTCTGAGTGCAGCTTTCGATGTCACGGGTAAATGCGTAGACATAGCACACACAAACACAAACACAAAAATAACGTTTAGCAATGGACCTATATTAACCAAAATGGTACAGGAACGACCTAAAACAACTACAAGCGCAAGCCCTATATACTAGTCGGCGACTTCAACGTATACATATAATGAACCTTAGGACTTATATTTGTCGACGGCTCTTCGTCACTAAATGCACATGATGTGGGCCCACGCTCGGGTAACGCACGCTTACTGACCCATACGATACTCGGAGCTGCATCCACTTGTCTTTATTCACTTTAATGAGATGCGTGGATTTTTTTCTCGGACGATTTTATTTCTCCCAATTCTTCCTCCTCCAAACCTTTCTGCTCTTAACATCGTTTTGTGAAGCATACTTGACATGCCTCACTTCAACCGAGACTCGTCGTCACGTGATCGCAACCTCAGCGTCTGCACTAGACCATAATAAAGTTGTTCTCCCTCACTCACTCACGTGATAACGCGATAGACTTTGGTTATCTGTTTCGTCGTGATGACGTCTTTGGAAGACTTCGTCACGTAATGACCTTTTGTATGCCTCGTGTCGATGCCGCCTACGCCAGGGGTCACTTTTCGCGTTTGGTTTAAGATAATTTTTATTTCTGAAAGAAACACACATACACCGAAGACATTCACTTTATACAACTTCGTACTCAAGACATTCATAATGTACCTTAACATACATGTCTGTTTGTATACCTGCCAATGAAATTCTAGAGTGCAGAATGACAACTACGCGCAGAGTTACGTATGTGTTTAGAAAAAGTGGTCAACGATAATGAGTACTTTGTACTTTACTACCATTTTATATTACTCTAAGCTACTACGAGAAAGCATAAAGCCGTCCCGTGGTTCTCAGGCCCGATGAGGTGATGAGGCCACGTCGACATAAATTACGTCGTGAACGAGTTTGCAGCGCTGTGCCTTGCTGGCTGTGCTCACAAACCCAACTGTGTGTTTAGAAAAAGTGGGTAACGATTTAGAGTACCAGTTACTCTGCTATGGGAGAGCTTAAAGCCATGCCGAAACATCCACGCATATCTACGAAACAATTGCTCTGTGGGATGAAGCGATCTATTTTTTTAAATCCCCAATGCATCCGTAACGCTACAATGCATATTATATTAAACAACCTCCGCACTTGCTACAACTATTCATGCGATTATTGCTTTCATGTTTTGAGGAAAATCGTGATATTGACAAAACGTTATCAACTCGATGAATATTTCCTGAAGCATATTTTCTTAAATATAGAATAGTACTAAGTACCACACTCGATTGTACAACAAATATTGCGGATTGTGCCACGGCGCTATAAACGACCCAAAAGAGTTTCTCGACGAATGCGGCTTGATTTTATGTCCGTCGTTCAACGGGCTCGGCATCTCAGTCCCCACGTGGGAGCTGCCCGCAACACAGTGATCTGTCTTTTGGAGGACCAAATAAAAGTTTATCCAATCCAATCCAATGAGCCAAAATCGTGCCATGTTTAGCCGAGTGTGCTACGCCGAATCAATTTTGTCTACTTGAGTATCTCGAACAAGAGTCTAAACATAAGTGAACGGTTGCCCTTGCATTACACCACCGTAGAAACACAGACGATGTTGCCTAGAATCAAACCCGCGTCGTAGAGCTTCTAACCACCACACCTTGCATGCTAACAGGACACGCCAGGCTCAAAGAGTAGTCCACAGATGAAAATGAACTGGAGGCTTGTTTATGTAAATAAAAACCTGATACAGCTCAATGAGCGAGTGAATATACTTTATTCCATGATCGGGAACGTCCTTGGTCCAGGCTAGAACACATGGTAAAGGCAAATAATAGCTTGGTTTGGCCAAGTTGATTCATGCTGAATATCATAGGTACAACGCAACAACAGGAGGAAGACAAACAGTTACGGGAAAGAGCACTGCTGGCTCTTTTGTTTATTCCTACTGTTGTTGCGCTGTATCTGCGATATTCACGTAGAGGCCAAGCGACACAGTCTGCTCATAGCCTCCCTGGCCTGCTAGATGGTCAAACTCCGTTGTTTGACCTAGAAGGGGGGAAAACATCTGGTGGTGTGAACACAAAAAGTTCCAAAGGTAAGCTGGGTCCAGAGAGATAAGTGATTTAATAAAGGAGCCCTGCAATAATGTTCTGAGTAATTATCGAATGGTCTGGTTAAAGAAGCTGATTGCGTCGAGAATGAACTGCCACGAAGTGTTGTTAAAATGCGTCAAGTTTGAGCATTTGCACGTACATTTGGGCCGCGTGCTATATTACATCGTATAGTATATTACTGCGAGCACGGGGATTCGTATTTACAATACAGGCATTAGCACACACGCTTCAAGCGCTGATGTCTCTCCATTCGAACCAGCGAGTGCACTGAAAGCTATGCAGGGAGGAGTGATGGGGCAATGAGCTATTAACATTCGTCAGCGCACGCCACGAGCTTGAGCACTTTTTTTTTCTTTTGATGCAATAGCATTAAAAGCTCGGTTTGGAGATGCTACAACGTTTATTGTTGAAAAATAATAAAAGAGCAAAAAAGACTATTGTCTTTAAAAACGAGGGATCAATGTCAAGGGTGGCTTCCACATTCCACGACACAAGTGGCCGCCGCAGCTCACCCGGCTTGATGCAAGAGACCCCGTTGGGTCTTCATTTCAGCTCAGTACGGGCGAAAACGGCATCCCCAAGACCTTCTCCTCAGCATCGTATCAGAGGCGACTGTACCTCCATAGTTTCTCAAGCATTTCCTTGTGACGTGTTGCAATGTCGGACTTGACTCACACCATGGACATATTCACAGGGGCTTATGCGAGGCAACCTTTTCAAATGTATATAGATGCTAACATGAATTTGTCTAAGGTAGCGAGCTTCGCCGACCTTAAAAGTTTTAAGTGCGGTGGCGCGTACTGCTCTGTACGTTTTTGCTCCAGTATATAACTTGCAGTGGGAGGTTCGTACTGATTCTCAGCGTCGTTCTTCGCCCGCTGGCTCAAATCACGAGCGCACCTCATGCCCGAGATACCCTCGCGTAAGCAAGCACTGTGATTACGTCGTGTGAGCGTGCATGTCATAAAGTATGTTTTTAAACCGGAAGCCTTACGTGTTTCATCAAACGCGAAAATTGAACGTTGTCATCGGCTCCAATGTGAGTTACAGACAAATCATTACGTGCTCACGTCTGCACGTGAAGTCACCATGAAGCCCAGTAACGAAGTGTCACACATACGTGATGACTTAATCGCCTGACATTGTCACTTGGTGAGTGGTGGGCTGATCACGGAGGCCACGCAAAACCACGTTAAGTGCACAGGATTTCGGAGGGATGCGGGTGACTACATACATTGACTGTGCTTAAACCTAAAAGTAGCATGCCTTTGGCCCTACAGTAGTCTTAAGAGAATACATAAGGAACCCTTTGAGATTTTTGTGTGCTCTTATACCTCCTTGTGGACAACCTACCACTCTCCCATAGTGCGGTGCGACGCCACGCTGCGCGAGAAAGGGAGATGCGCGATGAAGGCACTATATCTGAGAGATGCACTATTTTCCGCAACCCTTGCGGAAGCACACATCAGTTCATCTGCATAATGGTAGGAGGTGACACAAAGGAGAGGAGACCATAATGGGTGATGGTGATGACCGCGCGCCTACCAGCCAGGGGATCTTGGACCTTTCGTCAGACTGTGGAGTTGAAAGCGCAAGCAGAGGCACATGAGCCCCGTTGTCTTAAGAACAGATATAAGCCCCATCTTATGCAGGAATTAGTCGAGGCTCTCTAAAAGACAGGACGAACCGGGCTGATGCTGGAGGAGGTGCATCTCCAGCTTCGACTAACATGCGCGCACGCGTCCGTAAAAAGAGTAAAAACATTCTGGAAATGGCTTCTTCGTTCCCACCTAGCTGATAAAGCGTTCAGCGCACCCGATGGTCATTATAGGCGCTGGACGAAACTGTCATCATTGAGGACGTCGTAAGGACATCAGATTGTCTGGTGCAGGAAGGTTTCACTTGGTTTACAAGTGTTCCTGCTTTGGTATTTCACAAGCCTGCTTCGCTGTAAGACTTGGTGCTTCTCAAGCTACACACAATAAATGTAAAGAAGAGGGCCAAAAACCTGTGCACCAACCCCACAGTGCACAACCACGCAAACAAAGTTGTTCTTTAGCGATCAGTAATATTGCCGACTAAGTGGAACAGCAAAAATAACCAAACCTTTTTTTTATGGTAAAAAGCGTTGTATTCACTTTTTCTTTATAACGTAAAGGAAAAACGCGAAATGCGTCCCGGTCCGCTAACCACCGACCACTCTCCAAGCTAGCTGTAGCGATAACAAGAGGGTCGCTACAGACGAGGCCGCTACAGAGGTGGTTGGTGCTGCCCCCTGTCCGGATCCCCAGCGGGCGAAGTAGAAGGCCGAGATGTCCATGAGCTGGCGTCGGCGTACCATGTTGGTGAAGAGGAGCTCGTTGGCCGCCAGTTGGCGGCACGTGGAGGCTGGTACGCCGTTCGTGACGTTCTTGAGTCGGTAGCCCACCACGTCGGCACGGTACACAAACTGCCGCGGAAACACCTTGTCCGCCGTGTCTTCCGAGTCGACGCAGTCGCCGTACATGGCCATGCGCGTCTTGCGTAGCGCGAACACCTGCGACGGTGCATTTTGAATACACCCTCCGTTAAGAGCCCCGTAGTGGAGCCTTGTCCGTGGTTGCTCTCTTGGGTGTCGTAGTACTTTACGACGTCCTAAAAGAGTGATACAACTACGAGGAAGTAGGGAGCTCCGGAAATTACGACCACCTACCTACAGAGTTCCTTAACGAGCACGTTAATCTATAAGTACACTGTCGTTTCGTTTATCCGCGAAGGAAACAAACTGAAAAAGATCAAGCCGCGCAGCCAACGTTTGTAAACAACAAGGCTTCCTTAACCACCTCATCGCTTTTTCTCTCCAAGACAACCAACCATGTCGGAACGCATGCATGGCCCAGTTTTGCGGGTCCGCAAATGCGACCATGAGCGAATCTAGATTTGTCCGAATGCCCCGATTGAACCGCCCCCCCCCCACCCTTGTGCTACCTCAATTTTAGAATGTATACCTCATAAGAAAAAGACCTGTCAGGTCATTTCATTAGGTGGTCCATCAATTCCTGCAAAAGTGATTGCAGCACAACAGCAAATACATTACGTTCTTGATTAGCTGTCAGTAAACACGCACTTTTGAATAGCTCTACAAGCCTATTACTGAACTACATAGACCACGATTGCAATCTTCGTTTCTATTTAGTATCATCTACATGTCCTGAAAGCGATGGTATTGTGCATTTTTGCATTTTCTTTGTCTAGGATCTTTTTCATGTCGCAAAAAGAAGGAATATATGATCCTCGTAAAGCGCGCAGAGGAAGCTATCTGTGATCAAGCTTTCGTATTTGAGGTGAACCGCATAACCAGGCCACTTACGAGGTTGCGTTCACAGACCGTGTACCAAAGCCGAGAGTGAAGAGCTGGACTCTTCCCCACTCTTTGGGTTCTTAGCGACGCGGCATAGTTACAAATGACGGTAAACAAAAATGCTACACAACAAGGAGTCGTCAAATTGTGTGCTTGTGCACGCACCTCCTCCTTCATTCGGTCAGTGCCGAATGCCGCAATCTCCTCCATCAGCTTTTCTTTGAAGAATCCGTACAGCGCCACGTCCACGTAGTTGGCCGTCAAAATGGCGTGGCGGGCCTTGTCCGGGATCCGGCTCGGTAGCAACTGCGAGCTCCGCGCGTTCTGCTGGAAGCTCACCTGTGCAATGTTTCACAGCGCCAGTTGAGTTGACGTGTAGAGGGCTTCACGGGGAATAGTAAGCATACATGCATTTTACCGAGAACGTCGAGGTAATATAATCAGCGTCTCGTGAGAGCGAAGACACTGTGCTTTATTTAGCGTCAGTGCCTAAAGGGACTGTCACTGTTGTCGGTCTTCATAAAGAAACACTGAGTGCGAAAAAGTACGAACACTCAGAAAAGACCCAGGAGGAGTGCTTACTAGTAACTATTTTTTTATTTCGGAACGAACTTTTATATATGCATAAGACATATGTACGTGACCTCAAGCCAACCTTATTATCGTCAACAGCATGAAATAGTGAAAAAAAAAGAAACACTCTAATAATCGATGGATTACAACCGGCTTATACCAACGTGCCCAACTGGCAGTCTTCCTAATTGTCGGTCTTGCCATGTGTACTAGCAAAAATGGCAGCCCTAACTTCTTTGTATTGTCCTTTCTTTTCTTTTCGTATATAGTGCAATGCGTGCTTTATCAGGCATTGTTGCCATAAAATTGAAGTAATATCTATAGACGTTCAAAAGGCTAGGCATCCACAGCGTTGGGACAACGTTGCGTCCACAGCTGATGCTAATATAGGTTGGTGTGCAGCTGGTAACATGCTCATAGTAATCGCAGTAATCGTCGCAGTAAAAAGTGGTTATTCGCCTAAACGAATCGGTGCGCAGCCACTGCTTAAAATCTTACCACGTCCTTCGTGGTCCAGCACAGCGCGTTCTTAAGGAGCACCAGCGACTCGTCCATGTGCTCGGCGATCAACACCAGGTCGATCTCCGAGTTGAGGCGCCGAATGAACTCTACGACGGCCTGGGATTCGTTCATTACACTGGTGGACAGACCCAGGTCGAACGCCATCTGGTTTGTGCCAATGCGGCCGTAATCGGTGCGCAAACCGGACAGGTACGACGTAAAATGTCCCTTGCCATGTGCATCCTGCGAGGTCATGTCAATGTCCACGTTGTGAAGATCTTGCGTGATGACACTTGCGATTCTTTGAAAAAATGCGAGTAACAGCGTGGCTGCCATGCATTCGCAAATCTGAAGAACATTCTTAAGAATGCTCTAAAGAATAACCGAAAAATATCTGAATTCTGGTATTTTTCGGCTATTACAAATAAGTTGAAACCCTATCGGATGAAGGAATGACCGTGCTTGAATTATTTCGTATAATTGTAAATTTCGCAACTTTCTGTTCTTGAACATCTGCAATTTTTATGTTGCAACATCTAAAAGCTCGTACGTTACAACATTTTTCGCAACTTCATTCCTGCCCATGTGGAATGTCGGCGCGATTAGTCCGGACACGAAGCCTCTTATGCCTGGGCGATGCAGGCTAGGTCATGTGAAGACGGTCACCTTAAACTATCGCAGGCTGCCGACATTCCAATGCTGAAATAACGAATGGATTTATTGAGCAAGTAGGCCAAGCAAGCAAGGCTCGTGGTGAAGTCTCCGTATATGGCCACCAGGGTGAGCTGACGGGGCCATATACCGGTATTTTAGAGCGGCGAGTTCATCAGCGCCATCTAGTGAGACCATTCCCCGGGACAAGGGACCAACACTGCCTCTTACACGATATGGCAAGTAGGAACGCTACCGAATCCTTCCTCTGTGCATCGGGGCCACGTGCAGTCTTTGATAAGACTAGGGTAGCAACCATGGGGTGGTTACGTGTGCTACCGCAAAAGCGTTAGCGCGCATAATGCACGAAGAACCCTTATTCGACAAAATATTTTTTGCACATTGGAGAAGTTTCGTTAAATAGAGTTTAGTGTCAAGTTGGTTTTGTTATTCCGGGCCGATGACAACCCTGAATGGGTGCCGGCCGGGAAATGAAAATTTCTTCCTTAGATCGGGGACTTCGTAAAACTAAGTTTCAATAGGTCATGTTTTAACTCTACCCATAGTGGCAGCTTCACGGATGAGCCATCGCGTTGCCCATCGCTCGACTCCAGGCCACGATGGTTGCAGTACTTAGAATATGGTTCGCATCCCCATCTCTCCATTGCTACATGCTGCAACGCGGTGCGAGACAGCGTCCGACCTCTCACCTCGAAGTCGTCGATGTGTATGCCCTTCAGCTTGAGAGTGGCCGCAAGAGACTCGAACATGGCCATGGGATCTCGCAGTATGGTGGTGATGAAGACGTCCCTGCCGAGAAGCTTCGCGTACTCCTGGCGCGTCGAGAAGCGGTTGTGGTGCGCCAGGATGTGGTACTCGCGACCGTAGCGAGACAGGTCGGGGACCATGTCGTGACGGAACCTTGGAAAAAAAAACGGAATTCACGCATGCATGATCAACTCGGGTTGCTGAACCACGTACAGACGGAAGCATTCGTTGAAATAGATTTTATAAATTGGTGGTCCCAAACACACTACCTGCGGTTTCACGAGGAATGAAATGGGTATGAAGTTCGCTAAATAGTGCTCACATTATTCACTCGTTCATTGCGATTAATAAGTCTTTGTTCGAGTAACTGACACAGACTAGACTGGTACCAGCATTTTTTGGGGGGGGAGGCACCTCGTGCGTTCAGCATGTGTTGGAAGAACCACGGAGAAATAATTATGTATTTCAGAATCCACGTCTAGACTTGAGTCATTATGGTGACCAGCATCAATACGTTTATGTAAACTTTTCTTCAACCCCCCACCCCGATAGCCCCCCTCCTCCCAAGTCGGTGCGGCTTTCACAGTGAGAGCCCTTGCGGGCCAAAAAATTGTGACTTCGACACGCAAGCCGAGGTGCGTTTCAGAACCCTGGTATGATAGTATGAAGACAATGTTTGCTATAAACACACTTGACAGTCGATACATTGCAGTATATTTGTGACTTGGGTTAATTGATGGATATTCTTGAGTGCTTGAACTAGCTAAACGATGAAGCACTTATAGTGTCGGAACCCACAACGGCTCGTTGTTTCATATAGGAGATGGTTGTTATTTATTCCAGTCATCGTGTATACCACTCTCCTCTTCATTACGTCGTCTTTTGATTGATTCCAGTCTTCAAGTCTACACAGCAGCCAACAACAGCCAAATATGTCATCTAGTCATCAATTAGCCGGCGTTAACCAGTATACTACCAGATATTAGTTATCATTTAGCCAGTGGTATATAGTGATGCAGTGCAGATCAGGCAGGTGACTTTAGGGGTGGTGGTGGAGACGAGGAGGATCGTTATCAACTGAGTGCAAACAGACAAATTAACGGCAAAGAAAATATTAAAAGAAATGTAAAATCGAGTGGCAAGAAAGGCTTCTACTTTAATGTTTCTCAGGCAAAACTTGTAAAGTAACGTGATAATTTTAGGAGCCCTGACTGCCATACGCTATCGTATGCTGCACCATGTCACCTCATGTCGTCACTTGGCGTCACGCAGGCAATACTGTGCATAGCATAGCCACGTATGGCACAGCATAGCAAGAGAGTGGGAACGATAAGTGAGGGCGATGAAGAGGAAGATAATAAGAAAAAGAGGAAGGGATATGTTGAACCTAGCACAGCCATGTATGGCGTCACACAGGCAAAACCATCTACAGCGGCAGCGATGTACGACATAGCCATGTATATAGCATAGCAATGGGGCGGGCAAGGAAGTGAAGTGAGGCGGAAGGAGAGAAAGGGCACGATTCTACTGAATCACTAACGAATGTTTCTTTTCCCGCCATGGACGCCGAGCAGGCTTCACGTTAAGAACGACAGCGCTTGCTTGCCCCGCGCATCCTACAGCTTTCCCGTTGAGTGCGACTGCATACACTTCTGCATACTAACTACACACCACTGCCATCCCGGAGGTCACAAGTAACATCGTTGGTCACCTCGCGCGCCACGTACCTGGTCGGGTGTCCCAGGTAGACGTCGCGGGGTCCCACGGCGAAGGTCAGGTTGCGCGAGTAACCGAAGCGCATGATGATGTTCTGCACCGACGTTCCCGCGCACTTGTGCGTCTTGATGAAGGCCACGCGGTGGCGCTCCGAGCAGCCGGCGCCGACTCTGCGAACGAGCGACGCGGACCACCATCACTTCGGGAACGGTGCGCGACCCTTCCGCATATAATCGAGCATTGCGTTAGTTAGTTATATCCGACGTGCGTTGTAACAGTTCGTATAAACTGGCTCAAACGAATTCGTGGTCTAGCTCACATTATTATGTTCTAAGTATGCAAATTTAGGCTTCAACCAGCAAGGCAATACTAATGCCTTTGTTTATCTTCTCATTTGAATCCTTATCTTTTCATTTCAAACATTGGTTACTATGGTGACGCAACCAGCCATAGGCTTTCTTTTTTTTTTTGCACTGGAAGACAAAAATTATGTGACTTTTTCAGGTTTTTGAAATGAAGCGTCACAAATATACTTTCATGATGAAACAAGTGCCAGTAAATACGAAGACTTAAACTTTTCTGGTTGCATGCCATTAGTTATGGTAGTGGTCTTTCGTTATTTCATGTTGTTCCTGATAATAGGGACGACGTTTCGCCCCACCTTGGTGGTTATATGGCTAAGGTACTCGGCTGCTGGTCACGGGATCGAATCCCGGCTGCGGCGGCTGCATTTCCGATGGAGGCGAAAAGCTGTACGCCCGCGTGCTCAGATTTGGGTGCACGGTAAGGAACCCCAGGAGGTCGAAATTTCCGGAGCCCTCCACTGCGGAGGAGGAGGTAAAACTTTATTAGACCAAGGGATTTGGGCACTTACGTCCCAGGGTCCCCGCAAGACCCCACTGCGCTATGCGTTCATGAGTTCATGCAGTTCCATGACGTGGGCGGCCCGGTCAGTGGCGATTTTCTGCTTGGCCGGGTCCGTCGAGCGTAGCAAGGTCTCCCATTCCTCCCATGTGGTCAGTGGCTCCGGGCCCCGCGGGGGAGGGTCCGCCGGGCATTCCATGAGAATGTGGGTAAGGGTAGCGTGGGGGTGAGTGCATTGAGCACAGGACGGGGCGTACGCTCCCGGGTAAATGCGGGAAAGAAAATAGGGGGAGGAAAGGGTGCGGGTCTGAAGGTAACGCCATAATATTTGGTGAAAATTTTTGAGGGATCGGTGGGGTGGTGGGTATAGCTGGCGTTCGGCGCGATATGACTGGGTCATCTCGTTGAACGAATGCATGCGCTCCCTGGACTCCGAATCCGCCGCCGCCCGGTTCTGCGGCGTCTCTAATAATCGTATCGTGGTTTGGGGACGTTAAACCCCTCATATCTATCATCAATAGCGGCGGTTTGTGCTGTGCTTGCGTGTCATACATATATGAGTGTTTGTTTCAAAATAAAAATTTTCAGTTGCTTGTAATTGCATTTGTCCTGTGTCCTTTCTTAGTCTTCGTACTTATTGGCACTTGTTTCACGACGAACTTATATCAACAATTCTTATTGCCAGTCACCCTAAAAATATTTCGCTCTAACGAAAATTCGCTAGATTAGTGTTTGCTATAATGGCTGATTCATATGTGGCCGTTTTCAACAAGGTTCGCCAAGAGGCTGCATCTACATTTCCGCTATCATGGGAATCGTCGAATTTCTCCCATGTCATATAATCCGCTATGCTGTGAATTTAACCCAATTACATAGAGGCTGCAGCAGTTTTGGGAACCAACAGGAGGCAACGACGTGAAGAATTCGGCTACAAGGTGGATATTGACGACATCTAGAACATATACCATCTCTGAGCGTGGACGCTGTTTTGGGCTTCAAGCATGCGGTGTTTCATTTATATATTTATATTCACTACTACTTCACAGCAACATCGTTCAAGTTACAATAAACGAAGGAGGCGTAAGTTTAAGGGCTCTTTTTCTTTTGTTAGACCCAATAATATTGAGAATGAACAAACATTGATGACACGGAAAATGTAGGGTATGTTATTATAGAAGTAATTGTAAGGTAAATGTGCAGAAAGAAAAGTTGACGAAAACATAACTTGCTGCAGGCAGGGAGCAAACCTGCGACCTTCGAATTTTTCGACGCTCTGTCACTGAGCTACAGCGGTGGTCATCCCTCCACCCACTTTATAGGGTATGTATGTGCATTGAAACGTTAGAGCGTCAGTGAGCGCCGCCTGTTGCCATTTCGGCGAGTGTGGAACACTCTTTTTGCCTGTTGGCGTCACCTAGTCGCACGATAGTCGCAGGCTCGATCCCTGCCGGTGGCAAGGTATCTTTTCGTACACTTATGCTCATACGTAATTACATGTTATTATTATGGATTACCCAATACTATACCTTTACGCACAAGCTATATATAAGGTAAAGTATTTTTAGTGGCAAACCTGGACATAATGCCCGAATTTGAAGGGAGCGGCAATTAACCGCAGTGTGCGCACCACTGCATGTGATTCGCGCCCTGCAGACGCAAAGAGTGTGACGCGGAAGCGCAACTGCTTGTGACGTCACCTACTCGCCGTCCGTGTAGCTCCTCAGTTGCTGAATATGCTACCTTTCGGTAATTTATACAGTAACTCTGTGTAGCTATAACACTCGCTTCTTTCACCGCCAAATCATTTGCGCGGACCCTGTTCTATCGACATCGTTGACGTCGTCACGCTAAAAGAACCTCACGTGACCAGGGTGGAGAGAAGAGGGTCTCACTAGAGAGAGAGAGAGGAAGGGAACATCCCGTTATGACGCTTACGTAAGACGGGCGATTCAGAGTCAGCTGAAAGTGGGGTCACGTGATGAAAAATAGACGAAGCAACCGAGTGAAAGGGTTACTGCTTAGCTATAGCTGTAGCACGGCTTTAGCGACGTGCAACATTGCTACACTTTATTTTATTTTTGGGGAGGGGGGAGAGGCTGCTTTTATAATGTCTATCGGTGCAATATTTTACAAGTGCTGTCTTCACCATCTAATTTAGACGTCTAACTTAGACTTCAAATGAATTAACCTAGTAATGAGAGATTTCCTCAAAATCTGAGAGTCACTGCAGCATTGAGCATTTAAGAGCTTTGCGTAAACACATGCACAAAGAATCCCATATCTTCTCTGGTTGCTAATGAATCAATATATTTATGGCCGTAAGCCTGTTCATCAGGATAAGTCCTACATTTTATAGCTGTATTGACACAATTTGTCGAAGCTGAATTCGCTGTTCCATACAGATCTCCTGCATAGGGAGACGACTCTGAGCAAGTGCGAAACTCGAGAAATGCCGATAAGATACGTTAATTTGACATGAAGGGTCAATTTGCACATGGTGGACTTGCTGAATCGTCAATATAGCATGACGCATGACGCAAGGCTAAAGTATTGATTCTAGTAATCTCGCGAACCAGAATTCCTAGTTTTCATAAACATAGGTCGGCAAAAAATCTGGAGTTCACTTGTGAACTCACTCATGAACTATATTTTGCCCATCAGGAATCACTCTGGCTCCGTTACTAAATATTTTCCTCAAGCACAATCAGTCTGACTCACGCTGACTGATTTTTTTTTTTACCGGTCTTACGTGGATTCAAACTCGCCCTATAATATTACTTACTCGGACTCACTCAGATTCACGGCTCGTTCTGAGTCTGGGTGATTTGACCATCCATGGTTTCAATGCTCTCGAACAGTGATGCAACTTGTTCGGTGCTCTATACTAGACCACTTTTGATCTCATACGTTGAGGTAGTGGTTGCAGCCATAGAGCTTCCTGAAATTAACTAGAGGGCACTCTGGCGCTGTGATCGTTCAGCGACCATGGGAATGATGGGTAGTACACACATTTGTCTAGTCTTCGTACTTGCGAGCGGCGAATCGTACTTGCGGCTTCGTTTATTGCTGTGCTTCGGTTTTGTTTTGAAAAAAAGATTTAACCCTTTTGAACTTTGTGACCCGATTTGGAAAGATAAGTCTAAAAGAATAAGGTGGTGAAACGCAACCGCTGAACATTTGCTCTTTTTTGTTTTGAGAGAAAACAACTCCAAGCCACAAGAACACACACAAAGCCAAAAGGAGGCCAGAAGTACGAAGATTAGACAAATGTGTCTACTGCGCATCATTCCCATGCTCGCTGAAGCGCCGTGCGTTGCAGCTCCCATAGACACTATACCGCCAGAGTTCCCTCTAGCGTATATCAGGAAACTCTATGGTTGCAGCGTAGTAAGGCCATTCTTATTGAAAGATATTGTAGCGCTTTTAATATTACTCAAGATATATTTTTTGCCAGGAGCTTGCCGTGAAGTTTTGCGAGTGAAAAGTTGAGTCAAATTCCCCCCCCCCCCCGCCCTTCCCAACTCTGCGTAGCTCACGCCTCTGACCAATAATTTTAAGCTGGCGTATGAACGCTTGTGCATTCAGAAATGTGTGAGTATAGACTTGTGTATAAATGCTAGCTGGCATAAGACTAATAGGAATGTTAAAGTTGAGTAGAATCATGACTATTGCAATGTTGGAGCGCGACGCTTCCAGACATTTAGCAACTTTTGTTCGTATTTAAGGAAAACCTACGGGGGAGGAGCTTTTGCACATGTAGCACTACGTGAAGTAGTCCGGTTCGGCGCGCGTCTCGTAACGTTGTGGAAAGTGACGGGGGCGCACCATCAGCGTTTCATGTAGAGGCAGACGCCGTTTCGCGTTTACACGTAAGAAGGTGGGACTTGCTCTTGCGTTCTGATGCGCTGTAAAGTTGGATAATTACTGCTTTATTGCTATTGTGTGTTGCGCCTTGTCTCGAATAACTCCACGTATATAAGAAATAAAGGAGGCACTTTTATATTTTGGAGCTTCATATGAGGTACCGGGAGGAGAGGAGTGGTGGGAGAGGGACAGAATGTTTAAGTTCTGCGACCTCATCCAATTCTACCAAAAGTCGAGGCGCAGGTTTGCACCACCTATCTCCACATTAGACAGATCTCGGGAGGTTGACTGGAGGCGACTTCAAACTAGAACGTATCCCAACCCGAAGCACCTAAATCGCATCTACCCCGAACTATACCCAGATGACTCGTGTAAACTATGTAGCATGAGACACGCCACCCTAGAGCATATTTTATGGGAATGCACACAGATACAGGACGCCAGTGCAGTCTCCCCAGAACAGCTTGGGGCGCGCTGGAGAGCCGCGCTGATCAGCTTAGATCGGGCAGATCAAATATGGGCCATCCAGCGAGCACGGGAGGCGCCTGAGAGACAGGGTCTCTCCACCGCCCCTGGGGCGGCTTATTCCCACGCCTCAATCCGCTGGTCAAATACAGTTTGATCACTCACTCACTCACTTTTATATTTCGTGTTCAATATACGGGCAATATTGCGCAACTATGGCTCTGTATAGCCTTCGTTTCAACACCAAGAGAAGTGGTCTCCGAGTATAGAGCGACTGTAGCATAGTCTCGAGTGAATAAGGTTGTAGGACTTACCCATAATAGTCGAGGAAGAACGCGATGAGTGTAACGCCAGTGATTATAGTTGCGACGACATGGACGGGTCCGCGTCTGCTCAGGAAGAGTGCCGGGTGATGCCGAAGACGGTGAAAGATTGCCTGTGATTACGAGTGTACGGAACAAAACGAGCAATCAGATATCTCATGCTCGCGTGGACAAACGCGGCGCCACAGTTTGATGAATCAGAGCCGACAACTTGCGATTCTTACCGGAATCATGATTAGGCTTCACCGGAGAAAACGGGACCGGGTGCACGTGACCATGCGATCATCGACAGCTGAACGTGAATATCATGATGGTGATGCCTTAATTATGGCTTATACCCACTCAGGGGGATTGGACGAGGATTGATTACATCAATTAGACATTTTCAATGTTGACCAGTTATGAGAAAAATAACGTACGCGCATATAATTGTTATTCTTTTTCTTTGAATGCTACTTGTGCGCGAAATACGTAGATGTAGATCAAATGTGTAGCTCACTTATATACCCTGGGAAATCGGCCAAGAGTTGGGAGCATAGAAAAAAGTTACTTAAATGCTTGAAAAGAGAAAAACTTCTCTTTTTAGGCGACAAAAAGAATTTTTAAACATTATTCTCGGAGAGATGAAGGTGACTCGTATTGTTGTTTGGTTGATCATTTAGCGCCTTTATTCCAGCACTTACCAGCCATGAATCGCACAGTTTAAGGGTGTCAAAGATAAAATATGAAAATCAGTTTAAAAAAAATTGGCAGCATATCCACGGAGTGAATGATGAATAGTGGGGTGAAGCATCCGTCCGTCCATTCATTCTTGCTTCCGTCCATCCATGCGTGCGTCTGTGTGGCCACCCGCACGTCCATCCGCCCGTCCGTGCGTGCGTCTGTTCATGCGTCCACACGTTCATCTGTGCGTCCGTCCCTGCTTTCGTCCATGCACCCGCTCCTGCGTCCGTCCATCCGTCCGTGCAGCCATCCATGCGTCCGTCCATGCATCTGTCTGTGTGTCCGTTCGTCCACATATATTCAACACTCCAAGTACCACCATCTCGCATCTTTTCATCATATATTCCGCATATAGAAGCACCGTCATCCAGCGCGCATTCTAATGACTGAACGAGAGGACGCACACGCACACTTTCTTACGGCTTGTGCGTCGTGTCTACTTCCCACCTTTAACCACCTCGAGTTTATGGTATATACTAGTTCACTGTATTCATGGCACTGCGGCCCAACGCTCGCTAAACCTTTCTAAAACCTAGAAGGTCACGCCCAGCGAGTATAACGTAGCGACCCTTTCTTGTCTTCTGTGCGTTGTTGAACAATAAAAAATTGCAAAACGCCGTTGATGGACGCAACGCAATGCATTCACGTTTCCTCACGATTCCCTTCGGGGAGGTGGGACTTTTTTTTTTTTTAGGGGCGAAGCTCTTTGTAGCGGCACCCGTTTGTCTTTCATAGCCGTTGTAGTAGTGTGCAACAAGTATACTTGTCATATATAACCTTTTGACCTCCAAGGTGGTGCCAGTAAGAGATTTTTTCTGTGTGTTGTTGAACAATAAAAGATAGTGCTCAATGTACATGCCAATAGCTGCTAAAGGGGAATGAGAGACCGGAGAATTTGGCTTTTAGTTAACACGCACGCGCGAATTTTTTATTGTTCAACAACGCACAGAAGACAAGAAAGGGTTGCTACGTTATACTCGCTGGGCGTAACCTCCTAGGTTTTAGAAAGGTTTAGCGAGCGTTGGGCCGCAGTGCCATGAATACAGTGAACTAGTATATACCATAAACTCGAGGTGGTTAAAGGTGGGAAGTAGACACGACGCACAAGCCGTAAGAAAGTGTGCGTGTGCGTCCTCTCGTTCAGTCATTAGAATGCGCGCTGGATGACGGTGCTTCTATATGCGGAATATATGATGAAAAGATGCG